GCACAGTAAATTATTATTAACGTTGACTTGCATAATATGATCCGCTTACAAATGGGAATCCATAATAATAGTTAGGACCCATGTGGTAATATAAACAGTCGTAGCCTTACTGAGCTTAGCAACAGCATATAAAACTGTGAGGACGGTGATACTGCTGGGTTTACTAGGCAAAATTAACCGAGGGTATGTTTATCTCTGGTACAAGTGAGAAAATTAGTCTGATAAATACGGAAGTATTATTTTTCAGTGTTGTTAAAAGATGCTGACTAATTTTAGGATTGGATGAATTTTGCTGATTCCCATTACGCTAATTTTAGCAAGGTTAGACTGCCAAGGTCTAGTGCAAAATTCTAAATTTGTATATAATGTTAATTGAATATAACATCAATGAGTGTATAACAAAAATGTTTAAAAAATAGTTTTAATTCAGTTCAGATTATTTCACTGACTTTGGGCAAGACAAGCCACGGGGGTGGAATGGAAATCTTTAGCTCAAGTACCTTCACACTTCTCAGTGCGTCATCAGGAGATGTGCTGTGCAGTCTAAGGGTAACCGTGGACGGTGACACATCCGCACTACGCTACTCTAAGACCTCTCTTTCTGCTTTGGTTGCTCTCTTGCAACATTGCACAGTTCCTGATGACGCACTGAGAAGTGTGAATGTACTTGAGCTAAAGATTTCCACCCCCTCGTGGCTTTATATATATATTATATATATATATATATATATATATATATATATATATATATATATATATATATATATATATATATATATATATATATATATATTATATAAAGCACGACACATGCACATATTACACAGTGGTTGCGTCCCCGGGGCGAACACTAACATGGCTGTAGTATCGGTGTGTTGTGGCGCTGGTGGTGGTAATTATGCAAGAGGTGGTTTGTAACCTTGGATGTCCCTGACAAGTTACTTCATCACCACCAGTACCTCCTCAGCCCCGCCCCTTCCTTTACCTCTCCACCGTTCTCCCATCTTCTCTTTTCTATCCCGTTCCTCTTCCTCCTGCTGCTTTCATTCCTCCTACTCCCTGTCTCCTGCTCCTCGCCACGCTTTCCTATTCACCCTGTGAAATGATCCAGAACTAGCTACAGAATTACATGCTGGAGTGCCCAGTTTTCAGTGACACTGGGGTCGACTACATAAATGCCTCATCCACTCTCGGATGCTCGAGAGCATCCTATTATCCACTACATGCTAGCAGTAGCTAACAACCCAGTAACGTAGGTACTTAATTATGCAGCCAGATGTAAATTCAGACGGATTATTCAGGGGAAACCGTTCCCCAAACGTGAGGTCATCAGAACAATTAGTGTGAGCTGAGAGCAGCTGGCGCGTCACTGCAGTTCTCTCAACTTTCACAGGTACATATCATTCATATAGCTAGTGTGTGTTCCGGGGGTCAGCGCCTCGTGGCTTCGGAAGGATAAAACATCCAAAACTCGACATCGTAAAGATACTGTTGTAAGCAACTCACCTGAGAGTTCGTCTATAAATACCTACTTTTGTGGTAACAGTGGGGCTCATGCTAACCTTCTTAGTATTTACATAAATACACTTAGATCAAATTAACCTTATTAGACCGGCATGGTACAGTGGATAACGCACTGACCTGCTAGGTTTAGAACTGGCTTGCCATGGATTCGACATCTCTGGAAAAAAAGTTGTGGGTAAACAGGAAGGGAGGGGTAAAAGTGGCCTGACAACTTTGAGTGGGTTTTAATAATGACATTTTTCGTCACATAGTGACGGGTTGTGTCACCCCAAGACTAATCACTTCCAAAAGTTTAAAGAAACCTGAGTATGTAATAAGGTTTCAGGTATCTCGTCATGGGTAGGAGCGGATTTAGACGAATGTTTTCACTCCTTCTGTGACGGTTAGAGACGAGGAGAGCAGACAAGTGGCCTCAAATACGTAGTGTGTACAACTTATTTGTACTCACCTAGATACGCCCACCTTATTATTATACCAAGAGTTGAGCTTCAGCTCCTGGGTCCTGCTTAATCAGTGTAGACAAATGGTTGTATAATGATATATGTAGCAAAGAAGAAAGTTTTATTTATTTGACGTTTCACTCACTGTTATCAAGACCCAGTGGGTGAAACGTCTTAACAGTAAAAGGCTACACGAGTCTTCCAGCCACGAAATGGCTCAGTGTTTCATTATTTTCTGTTTTATTCAGTTTGAGAGACTGACTACCTCATCTTTTGTATATAATTCTATAGTCTTCGCATTATGTCCTAGTACATGTTGATAAAGTCACTGGATGGCGAAGCGTCTACAAATAAAGATACCCAGATGTTGCACATATGCAATTCTTCATGTCAGTATAGTCAGGGCCGGATTACCGCATAGGCAAACTAGGCATTTGCCTAGGGCCCCGCGCATTTGGGGGCCCCGCGGTCCAAGGGGTTCAGGGGCTCATCCAAGACTGCGCACATGGTGCAAGTGCAAAGGGGTCCCTACCTAAAAAGTTCAAGTGTTTGGAAAGTAAAATTTATTTTTAAAAATTAATCAAAACAAAAATAAATGCAATAAAATAAAATAAAAATAAATAAACCTAATCATAGATGGCAACACTCAACACGCCTTTGTTTACATCAGAACAGCTGTGTTTTCCCGCTAATGGGTGAGTATGGGAGATTCCTCTCCAATTTTCTGTAGTAATTACACGTTATCTAGACTTGTACTGTGACAAATTAACTGAAGTGTTGTTGATAGACATTGATGTGTATGGATAAATGTTTGTCTTCGCCTCTAAATGTTAAGGGAGGTACCTGATAGGGTTACTTGACCAGTAAAGACGCATGGACCAGTAAAGACGCATTTTTGGTAAAAATACTATAAAGAAAAACCTAAAAACGCAAACTGACTTCCGTTTGTAGGTTTTAAAAGCACTTTGTCCTGTGCTGACATAGTGTATCGCCTTTACCTAACACTTCCAGCTACTAACTGTGAAGGAGAACGTTCATTTTCTGTTTTGAAAATAGTGAAAAACCAGCTCCGTTCAACAATGAGCCAAGACAAATTGTGTAACCTAGCCTTGTTGACCATTGAGTCTGATCTAACAAGAAATATTGATTTTCAGAATATAATTGATGATTTTGCCAATATGAAATCCAGAAAAAAGTTTACTTAAGAAGTGCCTGTGAATGTGAATATAAACAATTCTTTACTTTCTTGAGTTTATATGATTTGATAGTCTTATGCATGATGCAATGATAACAATAATGGTCAGTGATTTATAAGGGAATAATAGTGCTGTAGTGGTTATGCTGAATATAATAGGTACATGATGTCACTACTTTAATAGCCTAATCTAGTAATACTATGCTGTCTTGAGTTTATTCTCTTTAAAATGCATGATTTAACAAGATAGTTATAATGGCTGTTGGTAAATGGTTTTGGTTGTCTTGATGTACTTTCCCTATTAAATTTAATCTAAATAGCCAGAATGTATTTAATTAGACCTTAAACAGGCTCACACCGACCCCGTCCCCACCTCCAAGCTGGAAGGGGTAGCCCCTCAAGGAAGGTTCCTTGATGTTGGTGAGGGGCTCTTGATTTAGGAAATTGGATCTGTGCTCCAGTTCCCCGAATTAAGCCTGAATGCCTTCCACATCCCCCCCCAGGCGCTGTATAATCCTCCGGGTTTAGCGCTTCCCCTTGATTATAATAATAATAATGGAAGGGGTCGCTTCGCTTACCCGTAACTCAAAGGGGCCCCGCCAATCTGAATAGCCTAGGGCCCGGAGACTTCATTTACAAACTCGCTGGTATGAAATGCGCAGTATGTATCGCGCAGTATAAACTCAGTGGTATAACATGCGCAGTGTGAATGAGCATCGTAGTGGTGATTATTTTAAGATGAACAGCAAGGTTGGTTGGGCGGGACTTAATGATTCATAAATTAGCTCATTTTTCAAGCTTGAAATACTACTTTATGCTTATGGAGAGAGTAGGGGCAAGATAGTGCCAACTTCCAGTGACGATACAGTCGTCATTCCCTCTTCAGTACTGTGTTAGAGTTGACCTTGTGGGAGAATGGCGCTGTGTCTCCTTGCTTTGTATTTTCCGTTGTTTTGTGCTAGCGATGGTAATGTTACTCTATCACTGCCTGATACTATGCTCACTGCTTGGTACTGTGGTCACTGCCTGATACTGTTCTCAGTGCCTGATGCTTTGGTCACTGCTTGGTACTGTGGTCACTGCCTGATACTGTTCTCAATGCTAGTTACTGTGGTCACTGCTTGGTACTGTGGTCACTGCCTGATACTGTTCTCAGTGCCTGATGCTTTGGTCACTGCTTGGTATTGTGATCACGGCCTGATACTGTAGTTACCTGATGGTAGTCTAGTTAATGGTACTGTTGTTACTGCCTGGTACTGTGGTCACCATATCTAGTACTATGATCACTGCTTGATACCACACTAATTGGTACTCAGGATAGAGGATAATTTTACCGTGCTAGCTTGCCTCTTTTTGTTCACTGAGCAAACTTGAGTACGTTCCCATTGTTTGGCTTCCTTGATCTATTTGACAGCAACCAAGTGAGAACAAAAAGGTAAGTGTATGTTGAACAGTAATTATCTTCACGGGGGAAGCGCTGAACCCGTAGGAGGGAACATACACCGCCTGGGGGAATGGATGTAATGAGGGGTTGATCCCAGGCAGGTGTGATCTGCATCGATTTCCTGGGTTAAGAGCCTTTAGTTAACCAGATTTTCTTATTTGTCCTCTTTTTCCCCTACTCCTTCGCTTCACTAGCTTTTTTTCCCCCTCTTCTCCTTCCCTCTTCCACTTGCATCAACGCTCCTCCGTTTCCTCCAACAGCTATCAAGTGCTGATAGCTAGATCACCAACAATATTTAATAAATTCTCATCAGTCTTCTCCAACCATCACAGAATCTGCTACTGATAGCTAGATCACCAATAATATTTCACCAACATTATTCCATCTTCTCCAACAGCCACAAAACCTGGTGTTGATGGGGGAGTTCCCAGACTGCGCCGTCAAGCTGTGTGACTTCGAGATCTCGCGAGTGTTGACGCCAGGACGGGAAGTGAGGGAGATCCTGGGCACCCCGGACTATGTTGGTCAGTATTTACTCTATTATTTATACTATGTATAATATGTATTACTTAGTACAGTGTATACATAAATTAGTAGTATATAATACCGACAAGTTGAAGAATTAGACACAACAACTGGGTATCTCTATTAAGTAGACGTTTCGCCCACCAGTGGCTTTATCAGTACAATACAGAAGTTTGTATTGGTACGGGTGGGTCTCGAACTCACGGCAAGCAAGTCTTAAAACTCCAGGCCAGAGCGTAAGTCACTGGGCCAGCTAGCTACATTAAGATTCATCCATCTTGGTATATTATACACTATGCTAACTTCCCTGTGATGTATAATATACCTAGTTGGATTAATCTTATTGTAGCCAGGTAGCTCAGTGGCTTACCCACTAGCCTGGAGTTTTAAAACTCACTTGCCGTGGGTTCGATCTCCACCCGAACCGTGGTTTGACTGTATTGTATTGATGACATCATCTGCCTCTGAAGAAGAGGTGTTAATGTTGCAGTTTTATAATTGTAGTGTAAGCTCGTCTCTGGCAAGACAGTGATAGCGTCAATGATGGTGAACGTTTTTCCTTTTCGGGCCACCCTGCCTTGGTGGGAGACGGCCGATGTGTTAATAAAAAATAATATAAAGTAATCTACCTCTTTAGCCTTTTGTATTTTGTTGATAAAGACATTGGTTGGCGAAACGTCTAAGAAAAGATAATCAGTAGCTGCGCACGTGTCTAATTCTTCAACATTTTAAGCAGTTTGTATTGCGTAAAGTTTGTGTGGTTTACACAGGTGTTTCTGTGTTTACACCAAGATGAGACGCGAGGCAGCTCATGTACTCTTCTGATTAAGTTTATTACACTCTCATTTATAATGTGCATTACTTAGTATGGTGTATATTACGGTGTGTATAGTTTGCATAGTGTTGAGTTTGTGAAGTTTATATAGTATTCTCAAGTGCTGACGCCATCTTCGCAAAAGGATAACAACAATGTAATATCTGAAAACGATAGCCGTGGCTATGATAACTTAGTTATCTAAAATCAGTTCCGTTGTGTCTCAGCACTCATCGTCAGAACTTATGTGATTACCACGTTACCTCGTACACGGTACTGGTGCAAATATTAGGACGTGTTTCCTTAAGATACCTGCTGTCCATGTTCACCTGTCAGTAAAATAGGTACCCGGGTGTTAGTCGACTGGTGTGGGTCGTATCCTGGGGACAAAATTTGCGCAATTTGCTCGAAATTCTTTGCATAACAAGGAGCTTTCTATATTGTGGTACGTCACCGATGTCAGCTATGGTCTGTGTACCTTGTACATGTACGTGAAGAATAATGATCATGTTATTATTATTATAAATTGCTATTATTGTTTTTTTGTTAGTTTATTTGTCAGAGATAATTGCTGGCATTAGTTTGTCGTGAGATAACCGGTTCACTGGTGCTCGGTTCACTGGTGCTCAGTTCACTGGTGCTCAGTTCACTGGTGCCGGTACTGTGACGGAGACTCGGGGCATATTTACGGGCTGGGGCATATTTACGTACCGTTCCTCAAGCTGGGGCATATTTACGTACCGTTCCTCAAGCTGGGACATATTTACGTACCGTTCCTCAAGCTGGGACATATTTACGTACCGTTCCTCAAGCTGGGACATATTTACGTACCGTTCCTCAAGCTGGGACATATTTACGTACCGTTCCTCAAGCTGGGACATATTTACGTACCGTTCCTCAAGCTGGGTTATGGTCGCTCGCCGCAGAACATGTACAATTTCATCCTCCGGCAGAACTAAAATCATCATTAGGCTAAATTCCAGAGAGTTAACTGCTTGTCTTAATAATAGAATCAGAGTTAACTTATGACTAAGAGGTTGTCTTCATTGATCATCAACTCTGTCAACGCTAAATGCACTTAACTAGCATAAAACTAACAGTGTCCACGTTGGAGATGACAGGCAGAGATATTGTGAATTTTTTTTTGCAATTTAAGATGTGGGTACTTGTGGGCAGAGTAGTGGTCTCAGGGGAGGGGGTGGTTGTGGCGATTTGGGCGTGGTTGATGGATGGTGACTGATGGGTGGTGGTGGTGGTTGATGGGTGGTGGTGGTGGTGGTTGATGGGTGGTGGTGGTGGTGGTTGATGGGTGGTGGTGGTTGATGGGTGGTGGTGGTGGTTGATTGGTGGGTGGTGGTGGTTGATGGGTGGGTGGTGGTGGTTGATGGGTGGGTGGTGGTGGTTGATGGGTGGGTGGTGGTATTTTTTTTTTTTTAAAGAGAACTTGATACATGAGCAGTGTGCTCTTGCCTCTCTGCTATATATTATCCTAGTGGTCATATATCATCACTCGTGAGTTACACACAGTGATGTAACCTGTCAGTCTAAACTGGAACACTTCAGTAGGGCAATAAGGATATCATCGTTATCATAATAATAAATAATAATAATCTGTATTTCTTTGTTTGTACAAGGTATACAGGCGTAGTTGACATCAATGACATACCACTACATAGAAAGCCAGTATGTGAACCACACCAGTCGAATAGCATCCAGGTACCTATTTTACTAATAGGTGAATATCGACAGCAGGTGTCTTTAGGAAACACGTCCTAATGTTTCCACCCGTAATGGGGGTCGACCCCCGGACCTCTGTGTGTGTGTGAGCAGAGTGAGCTACCACTCGAGCTAGGGGACACCCAACAGCTTTAACGATTTCGATCCAGCAGAGTTGGAATTGCTATTACTTGGGAATTGCTATCTGTCGGCATAGTCTATCCCATTTACGGTGGCCCGTTGCCTGGTGACAAAAACTCTCGCTTCATACGCTGACTGTCCGGGTTCGATTCCCGGCAAGTGTGGAAACATTGGGCGTGTTTCCCCCACACCGGTTGTCTATGTTCACCCATGGGTACCTGGGTGTTAGTCGACTGGTGTGGGTCGCATCCTGGGACAAAATTGACCTAATTTGCACGAAATACTCTGTATAACAAGGAGCTTTCTATATAGTAGTATGTCATTAATGTCAGCTAGGACTGTATACCTTGTACTTGTAAATATAAAGATATTGTATTATTATTATTGTTATTATTATTAGTTATTGTTGTTATTGTTGTTGTTAGTTGTTGTTGTTAGTTGTTGTTTGTTAGTTGTTGTTGTTGTTAGTTGTTGTTAGTTGTTGTTGTTGTTGTTGTTAGTAGTTGTTGTTGTTAGTTGTTGTTAGTTGTTGTTGTTGTTGTTAGTTGTTAGTTGTTGTTGTTGTTAGTTTGTTGTTGTTTGTTGTTGTTAGTAGTTGTTGTTGTTAGTTGTTGTTAGTTGTTGTTGTGTTGTTGTTGTTAGTTGTTGTTGTTCCTGCTGTTGCTGCTGCTGCCGCCGCCGCCACCACCACCACCGCCACTGCCACCGCCGCCGCCACCACCGCCACCGCCACTGCCACCGCCACCGCCGCCGCCACCACCACCACCGCCACTGCCACCGCCGCCGCCACCACCGCCACCACCGCCGCCACCGCCGCCGCCGCCAACATCGCCACCGCCGCCGCCACCACCAACCACCACCGCCGCCACCACCACCACCACCACCACCACCACCATTACCATCACCACCACCATTACCACCACCATTACCATCACCACCACCATTACCATCACCACCACCATTACCACCACCACCACCACCATTACCACCACCGCCACCACCACCACCGCCACCACCACACACAAGAGAAAGAGAAGAATAAAGAACACAAAAAATGCAAATTAATTTTTGGAATACCATCTTGGACATTGTAAAACTTGATTTTATGCGTAGGAAAACATACTGGCACTAGCCTGGCGTCACAGCCTCAACCTGAGACAAAATCCGTTTCACCTGTTCTAAGTAACACCCACTAAATGTAGACTGACCGAAGCTAAGACTGACCCAAGGTAAGTTGGGCAGGGCTATGCTTCCTAGCATTATATTATCATTAAAGATCATATTGCTGGGCTAGTTTGGTAAAAGAAAGAGCGCAGCATGTTAATTTATGTACTTGCATGAAAGCAGGCCAACACGCACGCAAGAAAGCACTTACAAATACACAGGAAACAATGTACAGCTTAAAGACACCAGGAACTAATAATGACGGTGATTGCAGAGTAATAGTCAGGGACAGAAGCTGGGACTCGACCACGGCATACGAGACTTGGTGAGTAAAGTCAGTGACTGACATGAGATGGCTAATCTTGTCATACAAACCTGTTGGAGTTCTGTAACAAAGTGACAGAAATGAGACGTGAGAGGAACAGAGGTATGGATTAATTGCATTTTATTTGACTGCAAGAAGGCATCTAGTACTGTATCTCATAAGAGGTTCGGGGGCTCGGGTAGCGGAACGATTAGGGAGGGATGAGAGGGAGTTGTGGTTCTGTTGGGGTTGGGTTAGTGGTGCCGTGTTGGGAAGGGCAGGGTTGATAAGTGTTTAGGGGATGGGGTGGTGGGGGTACTTTGGAGCATACTTGTTGTGGCAGTGGATGCTGCGGGAATAGGGGGTGGCCCCGCACTCTCATATTGCTGCTGGTAACACACAGCGCCTCCGCCAGATTCATCAATCCTCTCGAGTGTCAGGCAGAGTAAGACGACTGCAGCTTCGCTATAAAGCCAACAGATGCACTTATATAAGTAGCTGTAATTGCAAACAATTTACTGATCGTTTAACAGTCCACCAACTAATGAAGTGCTCGAGTCCCAGTGTTTCTGTTTTGTAGGTTATGGGTACACGAAGGAAAGAGAGCACTTAAGGTGAACAAGTTTTGAGACATGGGTCAGGTTTGAGTCCAATCTGGAGAAACTGAATACAACAAGGGCATGTTTACATGACCGCAACCAGATTGTTATTGGAGCTTCTGGCCGCAACTGACCGCAGCATCGTGTTGTCCAGCATGTTGCCTGACGGGCCTATTATAGGCCTGATGACCTATTATAGAAGCTTATGACAGAACCGGGTGACTTGCATGTAGTCTGATCTGCTACAGAGCTAAAGTGCTA